CAGCCCTGTTAAGTTAAAAAGGTAAAAAAGGTAAAATTTTCCTTCTGCCGACCTAATTAAGCACTACGCCATGAAGGCGTATGGGGGGATGGATGTACGAATATCCATGTACCGAATTCAAGAAATGTTATATTTCAGCATCCCGTTGCATTGAGGTATCATTCCTATTATTCAAGTACACCGTCAACAATGCAACAATGATATAAAAGACACCTAAAATATATTTTTTCACTGAAAGTGTAATTTTAATAATATTTTTCAATTTTATTCAATATCATAAAATGTCATTAAGACACTACAAGTATATCTTATACACGACGTGAAGGGGAACACGAAAGACAAGTGGACAGTGCAGTGGTCTCCCCACAAATTCATATTTGCCTGATGACAGCCCATGTGCGGCCGAAACATGTTGCAATATTATGTAAAAGAACAATATATTTTGAAGTATTTTGATAGTCACTTTTAATTTTAAGATATACTTGCAGTGTCTTAATGACATTTTATGATATTTAATAACATTTTAAAATATTACAGTTACATTTTAAGTGAAAATTTTATATTTTAGGTGTCTTTATATCATTGTTGCATTATTGACGGTGCACTTGAGTAATAGGAGTGAGATCATGAAAATATAGATCTTTCTTAAGTTAAATGGAACTGAATCTCCTTAAGAAATAAGAATACTGTCTATACATGTCTTTGCATAACTTCATTCCTGCTGATGACCCTACCATCAGACAGTCAGTAAGTAATTAATTAGTTAATGATTAATTAGCAGGTTAGCCACAGAGCTAGTTAAGTCTGTTTGTCCATTTGTCACTTGACTGTTTATTCGGCTAGCTAATGAACTCTGTAAACCTGGATTCGAGTTCTGGTTAGTCGATTTCGCCTTTGTGGTCGACTAACACTACAATAATTTTGCAAACATAGGACCATGCCTCCTTACTGCCTCCGTGCATTGCAGAATTTTACGTCTACATACGGAAAAGATTTTCATAGCCGTATCGCATTGGAATTACATTCCAGAAGTGGCCGATTCGAGATTCTGACTCATTACCTTCCATTCCGACTACGTTTTTTCTCTGCTGCCCAATCAACTGAGGTAAGATTAGGATGAAAGACTCGCATACCAGAAATACCGCCATTCTTCGAGTTTTTCGGTTTTCACCTGCTAATCATGGTTCCGCCATTATTCCATATTAATTTATGAGCATCCACTGACATGCGCAGTAACCCTTGCGAGGCAGCACATTATCACGAGTCTGCAGCTTCGTCTCCGACTCAGCACTTCCCTCGTTACAGAGTAAGAAACTTATTTATTTATACTGTCACGTATCCCGGTAACGCGACAAGTAATTAATGAGTTTCGGATTAGGTGAATCGATTTATTGGATATTCACCAGGCGGAACTACAATTAGTTGTAACACAGTCTTACTGCAACTATAGCACTTCGCAACTACGAACTCTGAAGGACACTGTAACTACAACATACAAAATAAAGACTTCTTCTTCTTCTGACATCTGTTTGTCTTCTATCTTCTGCTTGTCAGTTCTCCTTCTGAAGTAGATTTAGATCGAACCGTATGGAAATCACCTTCTTGAACAGTAGGGTTATCGCGTTCTTCGCTGTTACTGTGCTTTGTAGGTTCGTTCATGTGAAAGGAAACGTTCCTGTATGCGTTGTCTATGTTTGCAATGCATCGCTTCTTCATTCGTGTTCGTTGCTATGGAAACGTTTTCCAACAATTCGCCGTCCAGCAGTGGCGCCTTCCTTCTTGCAACGGGAACGTGCTCAGCGAAGCCCCGCCTAACAGATGAGCAGTTGCAGCTTTCAGGCGTCATACCACAATATTGTTCTTAGTTGACGTATAACGTCTGCTGTTGGAAAAGGTTCCTTAAAGATCTTAAAAATCAGTCAATAAAACATGGTGCTGAACAAAGGCAAATTATGACCGCAAGAGAAATCTTAATGTTGTGAGTTACGTATGGAATCCCGAACAAACACAAGTATGCATTAAGCTATTGGATGGAAGTGTAACTTGGAAGTAACGTGGACTTGAGTCCCCTTTCCAATCCGTGTTTCAGAAAATGGAAGCATAAAGCAAATGGATGGCGGGGAACGATAACTGAAGTGAGTCAAGTGAAAGAAAGAGGATTCCCAGCAGGCTCCAATGGTTTTCGCTAAAACCATGCGATGCTAGGAAAAACGAAATGTAAATTGCTATGTCTACGATTGTACATGTAATTTTGTTCTCTCTTCCTCAGCCTTCACCCCTCCCACCGAATATCGCACTCGAATTGAATCGATTTAATTCAGTGCTTCTCTTCCAGTGAGGCACAGCAATTGATAGTTGGAGCAATGTAAACCTTCTCTATTCTGAAGTGCCTTCTTTCGGCCCAATCGAAACAATTTAATACGCTGGAAACACAGAGTTAAATATCACAGTATGAGCAGTCGGCAATGATATTAATCCACTCAAGAATACAACGTAATAGAATGTAGTAAAGTTAAGTATATACTACTACGCTTTAATATCTAAAATATTATTTATGAAATATCAAGAAAGAAAATAAAACATAAACTGAAGATCTAAATAACTGAATGAAAGCCAAAGGGGAGAAAGAGAAACTACCGACTGAGCAAGTGAAGTCAGGCGGTAATGTATCTGACGTATATGTGAGAGCTGGCCATTCGAAACTTAACCGAGGCAGCTACTGTTAAGAAGGAGGTTTTCAGTGCCCTCCTCAGACCTCCAAGCATATTCCGAAATAGTGACTCAAATTAGGCCACGACCACTTCCTTCCACATCCTCCTCCATTCAGTGCAGTATATAGGCGTATAACGAATGAGCAGTTATATTAATAAATTGGCGCTTCTAACGATGCTTTAAATGTTTCATCGCTCTAACCAAGATGCTGGTTCATGGAGAGAACGTTCTTACCTCTCTCTCTTCAGTCACTTCCTACTTTTGCCTTTATTTTCTTTCTCTACTTTCTATTTTCTTACTTTGTGTCTTGTACGTCATGTTTCAATGCGTCACGTGCGGCAGAAGGAGAGGAAGTCAGGAAGTAATATAGAACAACAAGGTCTGGGAAGAACTAATCGCCTACTTTCCTTTGATACGACACGGACCGCGTAGAAAGCGACGCCTACAACAATTATTCTTTTATTGCATATTGTTCATATAATATTATATCTTTTGTTTTGCAGTTTATTTCTAGTCCGTCCCTATGCATCCGTGTACAGTACAGTGCTGTTTCGGCGCCCATTAGTGACTACATTTGGAGCTCTTCTTGTGGCTAAGTAGTATGAAATGAACCTGTACTAGCGAGTACAGATGGAGCTCAAATGATTCTCAGTTTCTTTTATTGTTAGTGGGGTGGGACTATTTTACCAGCTTCAGATGATAGGTGAGGGTGGTTGTGGAGCAATTGGTGGAATGAAGATTGGAAGTGGAAACTGAAGTACTCGGAGAAAACCTGCCCCAGCGCCACTTGACCAGAACCTGGATCTAACCCGGGCCGTCGCGGTGGGAAGCCAGCAACTAACCGCTTGAGCTATGGCGCGGCCTTAGTGATTCTCACTTACTGGATGAGGATGGGTGCTCAACTAGACACACCAGTCAACTTTTCCTTCAGGAACAACATCCGGTAGAAGAAAGGTGGACATTGGAGTCTGTCTGCGGACGCGGTGTCGAGCATAATTCGAAAATTGAATCTGCTGGCTGGTCGAATCCCGACCCTGCGTCTCATATTCAATTGCTCAGTCAGCAATACTAGAACTGTTTCCAGCTGAGTGAATCAGGACAAGGTCGAGTGTGTGACTCACATCCATTATGGGCACAATTTGATCGCAGCAAGAAACTAACTCTTCCCATTTGAAGCTCTTCTTAGTTTTTCCCAAGCTCCTCCAGGGAAAAGTTTGAATCCGTCCGAATTCTAGACCACCAATGTTTCTTCCAGATTTACGTTTTATAATTGTCCTTCCACATTTAATTTTATACTATATAAATCAATACAATGTCGTGAAATAAGAGAATAAAAGGCCAAACCACCTTCTAACCTACAAAATTAACCCAAGAAATTTGGTTCTCACACTAATGAACCGAACAAGTTCAGTCCACCCACTAACCAATCCAAAACACTTGATCCACAAACTAGTTAAGCTAACAAGCTAGCAAACACAAAACCAACCCAACGAGCCAGCCAAGAATAACCTTCAAATTAAAGTTCTTGGGTCATGAAAGACATTTGAATGGGTTTTATTCGTGTTTCTTCATACGAGTATTTTGACTGTGACTGTCGTTTAGTTATGAACTATTAATTTGTTTTGCAGTCTCTTTGTCGGGATAAATTAGTCAGTATAGTGACGGGCTGCGAGCTGGACGCCCGGGATTTCATTCCCCGGCAGGACCAAAATATTTCTTTTCTCCATGGCGTCCATACCGGACAGGGGCCAACAAAACCTCTTATCCAGTGGGTGCCGGGGAGTGTTTCTCCAGGGTTAAAGCTCCAGAACGTGAAGCTGACCACTCACCTCCATCTAGTGCCGAGGTTAAAGGCGCGTCCACATTACTCGTGCTCGTGCGACTCGCTATGCTCGCGAGTATTGTCAACGATATGACAAGTCATGAAACAAGAAAATTTTAAATTTTTAATTTAAAAACTATAGCCAATAAATTAAAATACGACTACAGGCTATACACATTACGAGTAAATATACGGATCCTCACGCGCCGAAGCCTGGCGAGCAACTAAAGTAGTGTGGACGAAGATTTGCGAGCACAAGTAAAAGCCAGACGAGTCTCCCGACGAACACAAGCCTGGCGAGCACGAATAATGTGGACGTGCCTTGAGAGTGTATTTACTCCGCATTACGTCTTCATGGCATAATGCTTAATTATGTACTTAAGCACAAGGAGAACTTTACCTTCGTTTTATTTTAGACGCATATGTGTATATGACTCATTGGCCCATTTCTTTTCCTTTTTTCCAGGATTTCAGGCAAAGTTTTTTCGCAGTGAAAAGATTTCGACTAAATATCGGAGCAGCATAAGCAGAAGGTAGGAAATAATAATTTTTCTTCTGAGATCCACATAGGTACGAGTATACAGGCTTAACAGTCAAACGTCTGTCCGTCCCATATGCTTTCTATAAAAAGGCACTTAATATAAATAATTGGCAAAAACAGCAAAGTACTTTTCTTGGACTGACACTCCCAAACTGACTGTTGAACATTCTACGAAGAAAATGCTAACATGCGGATTCACAAAATTATAATCTACTACGTTTGTCCGTAATGGTACAATTTTCCTCTAGAGGAAATATTGTAGGAAAATTAACCAATATTTACACTGTAATAATGAGGAAAATTTGTCCAAAATACAAATGTGGTACAGACTTACAAATGTTCCTCACTTTTTAATGTTTTTCATTGTGTAATTGAAAGTTGCTTAGAAACATTAATTATAATGTATTAATGTTGTCAGTTTACAGTCAACCCGCCTGTGACGCTATGATTCTCGGAAACCAGTTATAGTAGCAGATAAATAAAAAAATAAAATGTGTTCCGTTTAGGGTGGAAACGCAGGAAAAATTCTGAATTTTCTGTTACATGCTTCGGTTCGAGTCAAAACAAATTTCTTTGCCCCTTATGTTATTCAGTTCCCGTCAGAGTCGCGGAAATCCCAATGATCGGTATAACCTGTATAGTGCGTTACATATTCGAGTCACGCCCGGTGAAATCCCATCGCACAGGGAAAACCAAAACTGCTGCTTCTGCTAGGATGTAGGTGAAATCCATAGACAGTAATATCGCTCTATGGGAAAATCTAATATTCTATGTATCGTCATTTAAAGGAAACTGGGAAAACAGTCTACATTTTTCTGCAGGGGCATACAAGTTTCTTGTCAAATGTCTCCCCTCCTGCGCCAGGCACACGGGACGAGGTGATCATCACGACAGATTGGCATTTATTTTCTCGCTACATTACGTTTAAAGAAAACTAGTTATGCAGCGTTTAGAATTGTGGACTAATGTTACATCGGATATTATATCGGACAATGCGCGTTTGGTGTTAAAGAACAACAGAAAATGGAATCCATTTTGAGGCACGAAATAAAACTTAATGTGCTCTATCTTCTGGGATATAAATCCGCACAGTCCGCCGAAAGTCAGTATATATTCGTAGGAACATATCGCTTCCATCTTCAGGTTTAAAGAACTAGAAAATCAAGAAACCAGCATGAAAGAGGCTGCAATCGGAACAGCATTAACCTGCCTGTTTTTGGTTTCCTAACCATTCAACCATGAAGAAGGGGTTGACATGTTCCCCCGAAATGATTAATTTTCAACGGACTATAATGTGTTATATCCCAGAAGACGTAACTCTTCCTAACCACAGTTTTAAGAACCTCTTATACTACAGAATAATCATCTTAATTATTCTTCCACCTACTGCTTCAGTAGGAGGCCGTATCTAATAACAAAACGTTTCTATTACTTTGTGTGGTCTTTATTATGATTCCATCTTTTGAGGATGGAGTTCTCTGTCAATATGATCAGCTTCCATTTTTTTCCTGTATAGGTGACTTCTTAAAGCAAGCTAACAGCTATTTTGTTAAGATATTAGAATCATTGTTACTTTCCGACGTTAATTAAGAATTATAAAATGTACTGTGAGGTAATGGCTCAAAACCAGAATTCTTTAATGAGAAGAAACGCCCATTGCTATGTTACTGTACGGTAGACATTCGATAGCGCTAGTAAGCAGCATTTGTTGCTACGCAACGGACTTTAACCACCCGTGATGGTAGCAACAGTTACGAAGGCAACGAAAGAGGAAATGTTGTAAACAGCGTTTTCTATGCGGTCCGACCCGAGGCTATATACCGGGGTTCGAAATTAGTGGAGAAACCCGTTTGGAGGCGGGTCCGAATACCTACCTGTGAGTCGTAGGAGGCGACATAAAGAAAACCCAGTGCCTGGGGTTAAAACTGATCCACCAGGTTCCTGGGGGGTTTTCAGTACGGGAACCTGAAAGAGATCTGAAAGAGTAAAATATGGTCATGAATCCAGTAGCCAGTAGCAAGTGTAAATGACAAAACCTTCCTCTCGTGAGAGAGGATGTTACATAAGGACTACGACGGCAAGGGTTAAGGTGGAAAAAAGAAAAGTGTTGGGCGTGAAACTCAAGGGACTTGGCGCCAAAACGAGCTGATTGAATCCAAACGATTTAAATGGGGATAATCTGAACAATATAAGACGTGAAACCAGCAGGCATTTCAGGAACGAAAAGAGGGAATATCTGAATGACAAAATTGATGAGCTTGCAATGAACAGTAAGAACATGAACATTAGAGACCTGTATAGAGGAATAAATGACTTTAGGAGGGCTTATCAGCCTAGCAGTAACTGAGTGAAATATGATAATTGTGATCTGCTTTGCAGATTCCCACATTTTGAATGGGTGGGGGAACTAAATCTCTCAGTTATTGAATGTGCATAGGATAAGTGATGTTAGGCAGACAGAAATCCATACAGCTGAGCCGTTAATACCTGATCCCAGCACTTTTGAGGTTGAAAGTGCTATTGCAAAATTGAAATGGTATAAATCGCCCGATAGTGATCAAATTCCGGCAGAATTTATTCAAGCAGGAGGCAAAATATTACGTACTAAGATCCACAATCTGACTACTACTATTTAGCATAAGGAAAAATTGCCTGAGCAGTGGAAGGAGTCTATTATTGTACCAGTTTACAAGAAGGGTGATAAAACTGACTGTATTATTTACGAGGGATATCACTCTTATCAACTTCATATAAAATTTTGTCCAATATTCTTCTTTCAAGGTTAAGTCCATACACAGATGAAATTATTGGGGATCATCAGCGTGGGTTTCGACGTAACAGATCAACTACAGATCAGATCTTTTGCATTAGTGAGATGATGAAAAGAAATGAGAGTGCGATGAGACAGTACATCAGGTATTCATAGACTTCAAGAAAGCCTATGATTCAGTAAAGAGGGAACTATTGTACAATATTCTAATAGAGTTTGGGATACCCATGTAATTAGTTAGGTTGATTAAAATTTGTATAAACGAAACTTATAGTGAAGTCCATGGAGGTAAGTATTTGTCTTATAAATTTCCTATCCAGAATGATCTAAGACAAGGTGATGCTTTATCGCCTCTCCTTTTCAACTTTGCCTTAGAATATGCCATTAAGAAAGTCCAGTAAAACCAGGTGGAACTGAAATTAAACGGAACACATCAGCTGTTGGTCTATGTCGATGATGTGAATCTACTGGGTGATAATGTAGATACCATAAAGAAAAACACACAAACTATAATTGATGCAAGTAAAGAGGTTGCTCTAGAAGTAAACACAGAGGAAACTAAGTATATGTTGTAAGATTTGAGGCTTACTCTCTCGTCATTAAAATGCAGGGCAAAATCATGACATAAAGATAGGAAACAGATGTTTTGAAAATGTGGCACAGTTCAGATATTTGGGAACAACGATAACAGATCGAAACCTGATCCAGGAGGAAATTAAGAGGCGATTGAACTCGGGTAATGCCTGCTACCATTCAGTCCAGAACCTTTTTCTTCTCGTCTGCTCCCCAAGAACATAAAAATTAGAATATACAAAATTATTATTTTGCCTGTGGTTCTGTATGGGTGTGAAAGTTGGTCTCTGATATTAAGGGAGGAACATAGACTGAGGGTGTTTGAGAACAGGGTGTTCAGGAGAGTATTTGGACCAAAGAGAGATGAAGTGACAGGAGGCTGGAGAAAACTGCATACCGAGGAGCTTCACAACTTGTACTCTTCTCCAAGTATAATTAGAATGATCAAGTGAAGGAGGATGAGGTGGGCAGGTCATGTAGCACGAATGGGGGAGACGAGGAATTCGTATAGGATATTGGTGGGGAAGCCAGAAGGAAAGAGACCACTGGGAAGACCAAGGAGTAGGTGGATGGAAAATATTTAAATGTATTTTAGAGAGAGAGAATAGGATGGTATGGATTGGATGGATTTGGCTCAGGATAGGGACCAGTGGAGGGCTCTTGTGAACACGGTAATGAACCTTCAGGTTCCATAAAATGCTGGGAAATTCTTGAGTAGCTGCAGAATTGGCGGCTCCTCCAGAAGGGCTCAGCTCCCTGAGTAAGTAAGTAGATAAGTAAGTAAGTAATGTACCAACTTGAGTGATGGAACCACATTTGTCTCTTACTAGGACCACATTGTGACAGCGCCCCTCTTAAAATATGATATTAAAAATTCTATATAACTTCTGCCCTTTAAAGTTTATCAGCTCACATGACAACATAGTAGAAATGCTAATTTCTGCCTGCCAAAATTTCACATGTAAAGGATTTTGCAAAAACACAGTAACTCTGAGTAAAACAATTTGTGTTATTATATAACTCGGTTTCGGAATTAATAATATAACGTCTAATTAAGCTGGGAATTCTCTATCCTTCATGTCCAGCCATATCCGACATGAAGATGAATTTAGATGGGTTTATATCTGAATCCTCAAAATGTTTACAAAAATATTTTGTGTTTCATTCCAAAAGAATTGAATTAGAATAGAAACCTTCAGTGGCGACCTAACTAAAATTTATATCGGCAGCGTAAGTGATTTGCAAATTTGTATAAGAAAGTGTTTTATATCTCAAAACATTAGAAATTACTCGCAGTTTTACGCTTTATTTTTGAATTGTAATCGTAGGCGGTCATCGAACGATATGAGAACATCTCAAGTTGGTTTTCTGAGTTGAATACGACACCCGACTTACACTTTCCTCAATTCCAAAGTAAAATTTAAACTGCTAACTCTAATAAATAAGAGCCCTTCTTGAGAAAGAAGGCGACACTAAGTTTCTCAAGAAAATGCGCTCCCACACAGGATCCCGGAAGTTCATTGCTTTGTTCACAAGAGCTCAACTGTGGTCCTTATCCTGAACCAAATGAATCCATTCCACATACTCGCATCCCATTTCTCTAAAAGACACTGGACTACTGTCGCCTCATGCATCTGTAGATCTCCGTT